TCTCTCTCTCTCTCTCTCTCTCTGATCGCTATTTAGGACTCGATTTACTGTAAGCTCTACTTATAGTAGTTGTTATACTCTCTGTTGTAAACGAAAGGAAAGGGAGAAAACTTTTCTCTCGTCTTTAACTTAAGGTTTGGTTGGCATCACATAAACGGGTAATCGATTATTTGAATATATATTCAATATATGTTATAATCAATGAAATGTAACACAACTGCCATTGACTGACAAAATGTTAGATACCTTGAAAAGTTGGCATCTCTCGAGTCAAACATAAAAAATATCGTATTATATATTTTTTAGTAAAATTTATGGTGAGTTATATTCTATTAGAGTTGTTCATCCCTTTCCTCTTACTAATGGTATACCTTTGAGAAATCAATTTGCAGTTACGTACATGTACTGTAAAAATACTGGTGTTATATCTAATATTATATAAAAACAACATTTTTTATACTCCATGGAGTGACTCCTTTATACCCAACAGTTATATATAGCTTTTACATAAAATAATTAAAATTAATGCATTTCCCTAAATAAGTGACATATGTATGGCTTACGTGAAAAGTTTTTGTGTAGAGTAGTTGCCTCGCAATGGGGCATAACTGCATCCCAGAGCCCATCCACGCAATGCATACTAGAGTTGCCGTGAAATTTATAGAGACCTACTTCTTCGCACCGGACCTGAAAAAAAAGTTTTTGTGTAGAGTAGTTGCCTCGCAATGGGGCATAACTGCATCCCAGAGCCCATCCACGCAATGCATACTAGAGTTGCCGTGAAATTTATAGAGACCTACTTCTTCGCACCGGACCTGAAAAAACAAAAGCCAATGATATTATAAATAATTCATTTTAAGCCATAATAGCATCATATTTGACCATTTATTGCGCTATGCTATGTAATAAGTAGTATTAAAACATTTTAAACAAAACAAATTTAAATAGTGTTTCATATACAGTGACATTGTTTTACTAAACAAATATATAAAATATTTTAACGCATATAGTGTGAACACATTTTTATGGTCTTATATTTTATATTATATTATATTATATTTTGTTCAGAGAATTGTTTTACAGTACAGTATATATTGATATTATATAACAAGCTCGTTTTAATGATTTACTCGATGCTTACGATATTAGTACTGTATATAAATAAAATATAATGCTGGTATAAATTTGAATGAATGTAGTTGCCAAATGTGTTTTTGCTATCTTAATGCACAGTATGTTTATTATTTACACTTTTATACAAACTGTAAAACATATTTTTTATTATAATAGTAAAATAATATATAAAAAATATTTGAGTATTATAAGTCTGAGAATAATATTATCAAAGGTAATTATTATATTTACCTTTATTGTTTTTATTTTCTTTTGCTTAATTCAATTATTGGCTTTTAACATAATGTTAACCATAAGTAAATATTGTTTTAATTAAAATAATTGTATTATATATTTAATATTTTATTAGAAGTGCTAGAATATTTTCAATTATATTATATCAATGTCAGTGCAATAATGACAACTAATTTCGCAAATTAAATTTAGATTAAAATGTTAATATAATTAAAATAAGTAAAAATAAATTGACAAATGCCTACAAGAATTATAAAAACAAAGTTTTTGGTATAAAAATAATATAAAAAATTTCATTAAAATCTCAAAACTCTATCTGATGCTTTGAAAATGAATTTATATTACAAAAAACACAACTAAAAAATTTCTGTCGGAAACAAAACTTTTACTTTTTATTTCATTAATAAATCATTATTTTTTATCCGATATAACGTATAAAAAAGTTCAAGAATTAGCAGAAAAAGCAATTTTTATTGTTTTTTACAGACAGAAACTAAACAATAAAATTGAATAAATTTATTACAAAATAACGCGAAACGGGGGAAAATTGTCTGAAATAAAGTGAAAATTGTTCACCAAATATAAAAATGGCAAAACTCATTTTTCGTAAATGTCTGCTAAAATAAGTGCTCAATAATCTTATGCCAGAATTCCTTTGACAGATATATTGAACACAACGACCCCTTCCACTGACAGCTCTGTCGGTATATGTAATGGGTTTGGGTTTTGGGTTTGGCAGCAATTTTTTTGTCGTGTGCTCAACACAAATAGATGGAGAATATACAGTATATAAAGTCATTTATATAACAAATAATATATACAATGTAATGAAAGTATAATAAAACTTGAGACCCAATGCCCGAGACGTGTGTCTCTATTGCTGTAATAAACCATTAAATGTCTTTTATATGTCTTTATATGTATTACAGATTTAAGTGTACTTTTTGAGAGACAAACTTTTCGCTAGAGAATCACGTTTTTAATCATATGTGGGCCACACCATTACAACATATAACTATGCTATGTAAACCAATAGCCTTTCCATTGCGTTCATTATTATTTTCTGTTGGTGTGTTTGCTTTGAATTGAAAGTTAATTTAAATAAAATATTTATATTAGAGACTCGCAGAGAAACTGTAAGCCAAATAAAATGTTTAGCCTAATTGTAATTTATATCCTGAAATCTATGCGAAAACTGTACTGTATATTAATTATAACATTAATATTATTGTACTGTATAAGCAAATTCTTGGCATTCCTTGATTAATCAATTTATATTAGCGTTGCACTAAATGAATGAATATTATTATGAAAATATGTGTCGAGAGAGAGAAAAAAATCTTTATTTTGATTTCAAGTTTTTGTCGCCTTAAAGATAACTTTCTTTCAATAGAGCAAACATTTACACAACATTTTGCACACAAAACACACTCACGTATGCATTGTATGAAAGGCAGAGTAAGTGTGAGCTCAGGGGCATTGTATGGGATTATTGTGAGACAAATCACTTTTTCGTGTATAAAAAGTTGAGAAATATTATAATATTATAATTTTCCACAAAGTTTTTTATTATATAAGATATAGCTATAGACTATAGTTAGTAGTTAAACTATAATTAAACTAAATGAGGGTATTTATATATTATATAAAATTGTTTATACATATAATTTGAAGTTCACATTAATTTAATGATGAACTAAACATTGAAATTATGTGAACATTAGGACTCATAACTGATGTTTGAATATTGAGCACAAGTAGACATAAACATAAGATATGTTTTAAGGAATGTATTATTGATTGTGAAAATAGCATTTTGATGTAAATCTAATTTACATTTTACTTAAACTCCAAACCCTTACAACACATTGAAGGGCTCATTATAAACTAAAATTTTAGTATATATTTATTTGTTGCTTGCATTATCGAGAGACATAAAGTCAAAAACACAACACTTTGAAAAAAAGTGATAACAAAATAGCATTAATGGCTTTCAGAGGAAATGAATCAAAAATGTTATGAAATGAATATTCATTTAGAAAAATGATAATTACGAAGTGAAAAGGAAAATAATTTTATTTAAATTGCAAAATAGCGAGTGAATAGGATTGTGAAATGGAAAAACAATTTTCCTAATTAACATGAAACCGTTTGCGATAAAACTATAGCCATAATTAAAATTAAAATTACAAAACAGTGGCGAAAAATACACATTTGATGTAATGAATGGTCGGAAGGGATACCTCAATATGCGATCCGTGCGGAAGTGGTATACCATTGGGTGAATCAATGAGGAGTTGGCTCCTGTTGTAAGTGATGAGTAGCGCGGCGTCCGTCTCGTGCAACTGACACTCCCTTAGCATCGGTGCGAACTGATCGCCTGTATTGTCACAAATCATAAACACATTTACATTCATTAGTTTAGAGACCAATCAATGGCTCCTAACAGACAACTAATCGTCTTAGTCTTGAGCCGACTGTTTGTTTGCAACACTTTTTCGGTGTCTTTTTGTTTTGTTTTACTGTCGCTTAGTATCAATTGTACGACATTTTAATTAAACGCTTTAATGAACTCTGCTTTTCGTGTATTAATTTTTGTTTCGGTGTTTTCACTGACTTTTAGCTACTGTTTCCTATCGACTCATTAATCTATCGACTACTTCTTAATTACTGTTTTATATATTATATAATATTTTTATATTTAAAATATAATATTATTTTGAAAACTCGAGAACTTTGGCTGTAATTAAAATTAATGACTAGTACACGGAAAATATTGTCGTTTGAGTACAGCTGTAATCTCATGACAAACATTAAGTGTGTGTCTAATAAATGATTACTAAAAATAAGTCAATTTATAATTAATATTAAGTCCGACGAAAAATAATGAAAACTTTTATAAAACGTAGCGCTATTTGCATATTAATATATTTAGTTAATTACGGAATGCTATTCCCATAGGTTTACTATAAATGTCAAGAATATAAGCCTTAAGAATGTGGACAATTAGATACCTTTCTCGAGAGCACATAGGGGTCCAACCCATACGCCATTAAGACATTTGATTTTACAGACTCTCTTCTGCTCTAAGGTGCCGATGACACCGACAAACTGGATCTCCTCGATGGAGGCGAAGTTGCCGCCACTCACTGTCCCCACGATGTCCGGAGAGGGCGACCCATTGACCAGCACTTCAGGCGAGGCACAGCCCATCCGGTGGTTGTGATTCGTATTCTTATTATTTGCTTTATCTTTGCCTGAATTCTCCTCATTTAGTATTGAATTCAATGATTTCCTTTTACCTAAAAGTTATCGTTTTGTTCAACATAATTAATCATCACTTTTATGTTAATTATAAGTTTTATAAGTAATTATTTATTTCTTTATACTTTATATTAATCAAACTTTTATATTAATTTGATTATTAAGTTAATTAACTGTCGCTCAAAGATGTTTACAGTTAGCATAATATTAGATAGTCACACATTTTTGTTATGTATTTATTATTTAATAATTAAAATAAATAAATTTTTAGACTTAATATAAGAAAATTAGTATAACACGCAGAATTTAGTTATTATTAAAAATGCTCAGTTGAAAACTAGTAGTTAATTAAAAAATACCATTTTGAATTGAATTTAAAACTCTTAAATTTATATTTTAAATTAATATAGTATTACTGTATATTAACTTTATTTTAAGTGTATCTAAACATTTTCTAGTTTTGATTTATTTATTTTAAACATATAATCGTATCTAAAAATGGGTAAAATAAAGGTCAAGAAAATTTATTTATATATTCGAGTAAAAAGAAACACAAATAACATGATTATTGGGAAATATTTTAGATATGTTTTCGGAAAACAATTTTCTCTTATCTAATGGCGAAGAATATATTCCTTAATCTATTGGTTTTTGAGTTTAAGATAACATATGGTTCAAGAAAACATTATAACATTATATTTATGTAAAAAATTTCCGCAAAATAAATTTAATGAGATTTTAATGAAATGTATTTTTAAACACGTGTTTGCAAGTTAAATATAACAAATAGATTTTATTATTGGTTAAAATTTTAAGTATAATAACTAGAAATCACTATAATCTATTATATAAATAAAATAAATATATTGTAATATTAAAAATAATATATTTGTGGTACAATTTGTTATTACTATAAACTATAGAATTATATTTTATAATTTAATAAATAGTTTTTATTTATACTTTCAAAATATATTAAAGTAAAATGTTTATTGTTTAAATATAATATTCAACAAAAGTCAGAAACAATAATTTGATTTAAATGTCTAACAAACAAAGGGTCAAAAATAATACGATACTATGTATTCATTATATTTGCAAAACAATTGCATGATTTATGAGTAGAAAAGGTTTTATTTCTTTATAAACGGTTAGTCTTTTATGCAAAATATTAAGTATTATTTTCTGCATCTTTTGATGCAAACTATTTGCACAATAGAGTCGCATATTTAGGATACAAAACATTGTATAAGATCTTTATTTTATGGCTAAAACTTCTTATTCTTGTTTCAATTGCCTCTAAAAGAGATTTAATACAAACACTAAATGTCTTTATTTAAGAGTTGTCTCAATCCCTATATTCTGAGCCATTATTTCAATTATTTTATACATTTTTTATAAGCGAAACATTGGTTTAGTTTTATACGATTGATGAATATATTTTTAAAGTACTGTTTTTTCATTCAATTTATATGACACTTATTTTAATATTAAATTCAAATTAAAGTTAATGTATTGACGATTTATTTAAATTGTTTGATATTGTTTTGCTAATAAAAGTAACCATAAACTGTATTTATTTATGAAGTATAATACGAGTAAATGTGTTTAAAATTTTATGTTTATTATTATGACATCTGATAAATGGATATTTACTTTATAAATGACTGAAACCTTTTATTTCAATTATATTTAGCAATATTATGACAAAATGGTTGAGATTATAATGTATTGCAGAATAAATTTAATTTAACACAATTGACGAGTGATATTGGATTAGAAAACCATTTGGAAGACCATTAATATTGATTTAATAGTAATCTATTCGTTACCAAATGAAAAACATTTCTATCGTTTCAATATTGACTCAAATATTGATTATACCTACTGAGCCTAAAAGCTAACTATACTATTAATATGCCTTAACATTAATATAGTTTGACTGATTCCCATTCATTTAATTGTTAAGCAAAGATTAATAGTAATTTCTAAGACATTTAGCTTGACCTTGGACATTTGACCTTATAATAAACTTTTAAAAATCATAAATTTTAATTAATGTTGACTTTTAAAATAACTTATTAATATTAAATAATAAAATATTTCACAAGTATATAGTCAACATATTTGTAGATTTTAAATAAATAAAATTACGTTAAAGAAAATATTTAAATAAAATTTATTTCGTATATTTAAATTAATTTAGAAAAATATACATACAAAAATAATATATTTTTAAAAATAAATTTTATTCTTATATTTTATATCATTTTATGAAATATTTGTTTTATTTTCACTATAAACTCGTGATTAACATAAAAATAAAACTTTTATTTGACATTTTGATAGAGATTTATACAAAAGACTTATTCATAATATTTATATATCGAGTGATAGTCCACAGAAAAAGTAAAGTAAGGCATAAAAAGTTGTTTATATCTTAACGTATATATTATATGAGATTCAAAGGCGTTAAGACTTATAATTTTTCACTCGAAGCCAAACACAAGTGTATCGCAAGAATATAGTGAAAGTGAAATAGTGTTGAAG